GAGCTGGCATGTGAAACAGCTGCGACACCCAGAACACCTACCCACCAGGCAGAGAACAGCAAGTGCAGAGCCTGCGGTGGGTGCACCCTTGGTGAAATAGCAGGAGGCCCAGCACTGCTGGAGCAGAGAGCCCCAGGAGGAACCCTTGTGAAATGTGAGTGGAGAGGTCAGCAGGACCAGATAGAGACCTTTTGGTTTAAAATGTTTTGTTTGTAAAATATCTCAATCTGTGTATCTTGTCCAGCTCTGCTTTTTCTCTTCTCATTGGCATGGAACCTAATGGAGAGTTCTCTAAAAATAAGGGTGCATCTTACTCTAAGCTGAGTTTGGAGAGCTGCCCTGGACTTGCATCCCTGCATGTCCCCCAATTGAGGGGTTGAAGGTGGCTAATTAGTTTCTGGCAAAGAATCATCTAAGCCAGGAGTTCTCCACCTCAGTGAGCAGGGATAGGCAGGAGAAAACTCCATTGGTGCCCCGGGGCTAAGATAAAGGATTTCAATACAGGACAAACACCCTGTTCTAAGACCGGTTGTTCCTGCTTTTTTTTTCTTTTTTAAATTTTTATTTTAATTGTTGTTCAAGTACAGTTTTCTGTCTTTTACTCCCATCCCAGCCCACCCCCCAGCCTTCCCCATCTCCCTCCCATTTCCACTCTCCTCTAGTTTTTGTCCATGTGTCTTTTATAGTTGTGCCTGTAAACCCTTCCCCTTTTGCCCTGAAATTCCTTCCCTCTTCCCTCTGGTCACTGTCAGCCTATTCTCTATTTCAGTGTCTTTGGTTATATTTTGCTTGTTTGTTTGTTTTGTTGTTTAGGTTTCTGTTAAAGGTGAGATCATATGTTCCTACTTTCTGGAAAAGCGCTGAATCATGGTGACTCATGAATGCACCTGCGCAGAAGATGCTACATGATGCCTGCTTCATTATAACAGCATTATAATAAATTACCATTGTGGGACCCCCTTCCCCAGTGACCAGTTAAGGAAAATCATGGGAGACCACATGCATAGTAGCTTTAAAGTAATATAACTACTTGTACATGTGTAATAAAAGCCCACCAAAACTAGCCAGAAAAGATCCACCCTATAAGAATAGAATCTCTCCAGCCCTGGAGGTCAATCTCTGCTTGGAGTGGGCCTGCTCCCATGTTCTGTGAAGTGTGCTATCACTTCATAAATCTACTCACTGTCATAATGCTATAAATTCTGTGTGTTTGGTTCAATTCCTTGTCCATGATCACCAAGAACCTGGTTACCAGTGCCCACCTGTGACATCAGCACTGTTGAAATTTGGTGTGGATAATTCTTCATTGTATGGAAGGAGGGGCTGTACTGTGCACTCCGGACTGTTTAGCAGCATCTCTGTACTTGACCCATCAGATGCCGGTAGCATGCCTTCTCCCAGCTGTACCAACCAAAGATGTCTCCAGATATTGAGTTAGGGAGTCAGGAGAGACAGGTATGCCCCCCAGGTGAGAACCACTGGGCTGAAGAGAAACCCAAGAAACTAGCCTGGGTTCCAGAGCAGTATCCAGGCAAGCTCCTAACAAATTAAGGGTCGGGATGGGAGGTTGAGCACTGAATCTACTGGTCTCCCCCACCACCACTTTGTCGTAATGGAATGTTCCACCTACTGTTTCCCACCCCCATGGGTCTATAATGGACTGCCCCACCTCTGGCTTCCCCTCTGGGTCTATGATGGAACGTTCTGATCCTGAAGGACCCAGACTAAACCCTGGCGTCACCCTGACCTCTGGCTTGGAATCTGGAATCGGGCGAGCTGGAAGCGAATGTAAAGTATACAATTCCGTAGCATTGGGAATATTCACAACATTGTGCAACCATCACCACTGTCTAGGTTCCAGAACTTTTCACCTCCCATCCCCGCCAAAACAAACCCTCTGCTCGTTAAGCAGTCATTGTCACTCCGCAGTCCCCCTCCCCCCACCCCTGGAAACCGTGCTCTTAGGGCCCCAAACCTGCCTCCCCCACCGGCGTGTACTAAAGAAGGGCATTCAATGACTAAGAGGTTGGGGGAAGGCCCCCCCTTCCAGCGCACGGGTCTCAGATTTCGGCCTCACGCGCAGGCCCTGCACGAGCCCTCAGGAGACCAGCCCAAAATCCATTGTTTCCTTCCTTCCTTGGGCGTCCTGCGGCCCTCCACGGGCTCTGGGGCTCACCAGGCTCAGCAGGGTGGGGCATGGCAGACGTGACCCCACAGCTTTCTGGCCTCAAGCCACTGCAGAGCCAAGCCCTGGAGGGGTTAGTGCTGGGAGGTCAGGTGGGGTTTCAGGCTGTGGGGTATGGGGGGGCTCCCCTGACAGGAGACGCCTAGGTTGTTAACACCTGCTGTGCAGAAAGATGAGAAGAAAGAATAACCCCTTCCTCTCTGTAGTTGCCCAGCAGGGGAACCCCAAAGAAGCTGCCGAAAGACACACTGTCAGACTAGAAGCCTTGCCTGCTCTCAGCAGTGGGGTTTTCAGCCTGGGTTCAATGGAACTGCTAAGGGAGAAAGAGAGAAAAATCATTTTGGGGCCCAGCTGCGTTTTCTCTCCACAATTAATTGGCTAGGCCACCAATTAATCAAATGTATATGTGTGATTCTGAGGCAGGAGGCAGTCAGGAAGGAAGCTCCCGAGGCCCCGCAGGGCTGAGGTAGAAAACACCTATACATGACAAAGACCCCCTAAGACGGGTTGTTCCTGTTTTCTGGGACAACTCTGAATCATAGAATGCGCCTGCGCGCTACCCCTGATTCATTATAATATCATTATAATGAAATAACATTATGGGACTCCCTTCTCCAGTAGCCAATCAAGAAAGTCATGGGAAACCACGCATGCGCAGTAGCTTTGAAATCCAACTCCTTGTACCTGCGCAGGAAAAAGCCCGCCAAAGACTAGCAGGGGGCTTCTGCCCCTATAAGAATAGAATCCCCCAGCCCACGTGCCCCTTTTTTCCTCTGCTCAGAGCTGGCTCACTCCCGTGTCCTGTGGTGTGTACTATCACTTAATAAACCTCCCCTCTTTCTTTATGCTATAAACTTTGTGTGTTCGGTTCAATTCTTTGTTCTCGATCACTAAGAACCTGGTTACCTGTGCACACCTGTGCACACCTGTGACAATTCTACATTGTGGCTGAGGTTCTGTTGCAGTGAACAGTTGACCAGGGAGAAAAAAACAAAGGGATTTCTAACTCAGCCCTGGTCACCAGGAATGTGGAGGCTGATCCACCGTGTCACAAAAACACCCAGAAACACTGGGATGATGCACACCAGACCACCACCTCACTGGCTTTGAGATCCTTATCAGAATCCTGACAGTTCTGTTCCAGGAACCAGTAATCAAGATGTTTGTCAAGACCAACACCCCTATGAGGACTCAAATTCCAAAGACTGAACATCATCAGAACCCCTTCTGTGCCTTTTTCCACATTCCCTTCCCATGCTTCTCCTACAGCGACTGGCTCCTGACAAGCTTGAGGGATGGGGTTTGTACCGGCCACCTTCTCAAATTGCCGGCATCCAATATTAATAACAGCGCAATTACAATCCAGTCCCCATCTCTGCTTTTTGGCTGAGCAGTGGCAGGCAGCTGGAGCCTGTGGACAGCTGACCCCTGGTTTCAGAATAATTCTGTGTTTGTGGGAGCTGTCGTGTGTGTTGTGGGGTGCTTAGCAGAACCCTGGTCTCTGTGCACTGAACGCTAGCACCACTGAGTTGCTAACTTGAAAATCCAAAACTGTTTCAAGTTCACAGACAGGAAGCAGATTTGTGGTTTCCAGGGGTGGGGGGAGAAGGACTGTAGAGTGACTGCTTAATGAGCAGAGGGTTTGTTGTGTTTTTTTGTTTGTTTGTTTGTTTTGGGGGGGAGGGCGGTGAACAGTTCTGAAAACTAGACAGTGGTGATGGTTGCACAATGTTGTGAATATTCCCAATGCTGCTGAATTGTACACTTTACAATGATTGAAACAGTACTTTGATATTCTGTGTGTTTTGCCATATTAAAAAAAAATATCTCCCACCCCAGGTCAAGTCTCCTTCCATCACTACTTATCCCCCTTTCCCTTCTTCCACCTGGAGACTGTTATGCTAAGTGAAATTAGCCAGTCAGAGAGAGACAAATACCAGGTGACCTCACTTATATGTGGAACCTAATGAACAAAATACACTGATGAATAAAATAGGAAGAGGCATGGATACATGGAACAGACTGACAGCTGTCAGAGGCCAGGGGGGCAGACTGGATGAAAGAGTATGAAGGGATTACCAAAGAGGAGACATGCAGGACCCATGGACACAGACAATAGCGTGGTGATGGCCAGAGGAAAGGGGGATGGAGGACAGGGGGAAAGTGGACAAAGGGGGTTGGGAAATGGGGCATCTGTTATAGTGTCAACAATAAACATAAATAAACAATAAATTGAAAATAATAATCAATAAACACCGCTTGGGAGAGGGGAGGAAGCTTAGCAACTCCTGCTTTCAAATACCTTCATTAGAAAGCTGATGAAGAAAACCACAAACCACACCCATTATGTAGCTTCATGGGGCTACAATTAAGTTAAGCCAGGAAATACCTGAGGTAGGGCAGACTACTAGGGGGCAAAAATCGACAATCACCTATAAACTTGGGGCCTATTAATAAATGCAGCTTCAACCCTGGCTGGTGTGGTTCAGTGAATTGAACGCCGGCCTGCAAATCAAAGGGTTGCTGGTTTGATTCCTGGCCAGGGCACATGCCTGGGTTGAGGACCAGGTCCCCAGTGGGGAGCACACAAGACGAAACCACACATTGATATTTCTCTCCCTCTCTTCACCCTCCCTTCCCCTCTCTCTAAAAAAAAATAATTAAAATCTTTAAAAACATAATAAATGCAGCTTCAAACATAATGCTTTGCCTTTATTATTCTGTATCCTCATGAATGAAAACAGACATTTGATATAAAGTGGGTACGTGAGTTGTGCAGAATGTACTGTAAACTAGAGGGTGTAAGCCAGTGCTCAATTCTCTATTTTGACCCAGTGATTAACCTGTGACTGTTTGGTCTTCATCAGTGAGATGTCAGAGAGACCAGCAATTTACTGGAGCATTATCTCAGGGTGTCCAGAAAAGGAAGTCATCATAGGAGGATCTGGTCACCCTGGCATTCTGACTATTGATTGTCAGCTTGGGGTTACTGTCTTTTAGTTCCTGCAGCAGCTTCTGGATTACCCCGCTGGATTCATCCATCTTCAGCCTGAGGGTCATCAATGGACTGGGACTTTGTTTCAAAGCTTCCAAGAGCACTGTTATTCCACCCTGCCCCAACATGTTCTGGCCCAGGTCCAGAGCCTCCAGCTTCTGGTTGCTGGCAAGAGCAGAGGCAAGATCCTGGCAACAGAAAGATGAGATAGAACAGCCACAGAGCCTGTTGAGAAAGAGAACAGGTGCCACAAATCAATGGCTGAACAAGTCCTTATGCAGAACACATTCTGACTTGCTAGGGACATATAGTGAAGAAATGGGGGGAAAAAAACCTTTCAAAGAAGCAAAGCACCTACCCCAGGCATTTTAGGTTGCAATCTGGCTTCTTCAAAGCCTCACAGAGAAACTGCAATCCCATAGCTATGGGATTGAGACCCAGGTCCAAGTGTGTCAAACAGGAGTCTCCTTGGAGAAGTCTCGCGATGTGTTTGCAGCCACGTCTGGTTATGTTGCACTGATACAACCTACCAAGACAGTCATAGGTGAGAAGTCTCATATCCATTTGTGACACATGCCCGGTGAGGCAGCTGTTATACCCAGGACCATATAGCTTCTACCTCAAGCTTCCTACTTTCAGGCAGGCTTGTATATAACATACACGTGGGATGATGGTTATGTTATATCCATGTACCTAGGTGGTGGGGTGGGGGGTGTGAGGGGGGACTGGCCTTTGACTGCTGCCTTTTATAATGAATAAACACACACACACACAGACACACACACACACACACACACATCCTAAGATTCAGGTCTTCCTATCTTTTGATTTTTTTCTACTTGCTACTATAAGCAGAATACTTGTTTTTCCTTTTCAGACTTAAACTATTGGGGTATGTCTACATTAGCATATATCATTTGTTTTGTTTTGTTTTCTAATTTTTTTATTTATTTTTCAATTATAGTGGACATGCAATATTATGTTAGTTTCAGGTGTACAATATAGTCATTAGACATTTATATAACTTACAAAATGATACCCCCAGTAAGTCTGGCACCATACATAGTTATTACAGTATTATTGGCTATATGTCATACTTTAATCCCCATGATACACATATATCCTAGATTGAGACATCAGGTGTTTCTAGGACCCACTAGAAGCCATAGAGATAACTGGCAGACAGCAGTTTTCTAGAACAGCAAAATCCCCAGAAAAATTAAAACCAGACAGAATTTCTGAGCAGAACAGGCCTCCAACTCTACACAATCTTTTGAACATTACCCTACCTGTGATTCTAATGGGCACATGCTGGGCTTGTGCCCAGGTAACAAGGTCAGCAAACTACAGCCCATAGGTCAAACCCATCCCACCAGTTTTTTTGTAAATGATGTTTTACTGCAACACAGCCACACTCATTCTTAGTCTACCTGTTGACAGGACAGTGGCAGAGTTAGATAACTAGAACAGAGATCATATGGGCCCACAAAGTCTAAAATATTTACCATCTGGCTCTTTGCAGGAAAAAAAAATTTTCTGCAAAGAAAATCCTACCCTATGCTCTATGCCCTATAACCCATACCCTGTAACTCAATGCATTCCCAATTGCAGGAACTCAAAAAAAGAACTCAAAGAACATACATGAAACGTCAGACCTGAGGACCAATCTGGCCAAATTCCCAAAATACAAAGAGGCCAGAAGGTAAACTTGGCCCTGAAAGGCAGGCAAATATTAACATCTGTGTCTACCCAACCTTTTCCTCATTTGTGGCAGGCTGTTGGCAGATTCATTGAAGTAGAATCGCTAAGTGGTCTCCTATCTGTTCTCTGCATCCAGCATGCCCACACACACACACACAGCCCATGGGGACTTACACCAGAGTCTGTAGTTGACAGTCAGGGTAACTCAAGCCCTCACACAGCAGCTGCACTCCGCCATCCCCAAGGTCGTTCTTGGCCAAGCACAGGTGTGTCAGCCTCTGGTTGACAATCAAAGCAGATGAGAGCTCCTTGCAGCAGGCTCCTGTCAGGTGACACTTTTCCAACCTGCAAAAGCACCCCACCCATGGAAAGACAGTGAGAACATTTCCAAAGCCCAACCTCCTCAGCTGATAGCTCTTCTTATAAACTCCCCACCTACTCTATCTTGTGCCATGAAGTACCAGCAATGAGGGAAGGGCATGCAAAAACGTGTGCTTCATCTGCCTGAAGCAAAAATGGAAACCCAGAGTTGTCTACCTCAGTAGGAGGACCCTCACAGGTTGCTCTGTAAGTCCAGCGTTAGCACTGTTCTCTGTATGACCCAGAACTAAAACAGAGATGGGCTACGGAAGAGAGACTTACGACAACCTCTGCAGGAAACACTTTGGGTATCTCAGCGTCACACACAGCAGCTTGACACCCTCATCCCAGAGCTCACTGGCGGTAAGGTCCAGAAACTGCAGGGACTGGTTGATTCTGAGGGCCAAGGAGAACTCATCCCACTGTGGAAGGATGTCACGACAAGACCCCAACCTGTGGGGTACACGGCAGCAAGTCATTCTCTCGAGAGGACAGAGAGAGACCGTATCAGCTTAGTACACTTCCCCAAAGATTGTATCCTTGATCTTCATCATGTTCTGTTCCAATATGTGTGCAACCTATTGGAGATCGTTGATCTCCTTTGCTTCTTCAAGTATCCCCATGGCCATTTGATCAACATCCAGCCTCATCGCACATCTGTAATACAATTCTATGTGAAGTTTCAACACATTATTTTTTATTTTTTAATCCTCCCCTGAGGATAAGACTTTTTTTGCATTGGTTTTAGAGATAGAGAAACAAGGGAAGAAACATTGAAGTGAGAGGAAAAACATTACTGGGCTGCCTCTCGTACATGCCCTGACCAGGGACCAAATCCACAACCTAGGTATGTGCCTTGACCAGGAATTGAATACACAACTTTTTGGCATATGGAACAACACTCCAACCAACTGACTCATCTGGCCATGGCATCTGCTCAATCTCACTTAGGTCTAGATACATGGTTCTATAGAGAAAACAAATAATTCCTGATACTCAAAAAATTTAACTTCATAAATTATTAAGGAATATTCCAATTTAAACAAAGAGGTATAGCCCTGGCCATGTAGAAGATGATACAGGTTCCGTGTCAGCCATTTGTCCTTTTGAAGCCTCAATGCATCTTTTAGAAACATCAGCCCTGGCTGGTATGGCTCAGTGGATTGAGTGCCAGCCTGCAAACCAAAGGGCCACCAGTTCAATTCCCAGTCAAGGCAAATGCCTGGGCTGCAGGCCAGGTCCCCAGTTGGGGGCACATGAGAGGCAACCACACATTGATGTTTCTGGCCCCTCTCTCTCCCTTCCCTTCTCTCTAGAAATAAATAAAATCTTTCAAAAATTTTTTAAAAATGAAACATCATTTATCAGCAGTTTTTCCAATTAAATGAAAACAGCACCATCATCAATTATCAACAACAGAAAGAGCTATTCTTTGTGCCTGGACCCTAGGCAAAGCATTTCACACCTCACGTTTTATTCAATTCCCAAAATCCCATTTTATGGATAAAGAGATCATATAGGTCATAAACATCAGAGCAAGGATGTGAGCCCATTTCCAAATTCAAAATCCGGCCCTGTCAGCCAGTACCTCAGTTTGCTACTCTACTGAGTCCAGGAGGGGATGGTGCCCTAAAGACAGATAATGATAATCAGAGCCTTCGTTATGCGCATTCACTGAGGAAGCGGGAGTGTCTCAAAGCAGTGGGCCACCATGAACCAGGACCCTCGATGTTTTACGGGGGTCACTAAGAGGCCAATCTAAGTGGATGGCTGCTCTGAAATCACAGCACAAAGGCAACACGCTGCCTGAAATATCACGTCCCAAACCTAGAGGCTGACACAAAATTCTGGGTCCTAAATTCTTTGCACTTAGGACTCATAATTCCATGCAGGAGACCAGCTGGCTGGAGAGAGCATGGAAGCTGGAACCCCGACCAGGTTCTACCGGAGAATACGCTTCCCACCGCACCCCCCCCCCCGCCCCCTGCCTGATTGGCAGGACGCGATGTCCAATCAGAGCAGCTCCCTGTTGTCTGTCCCTCACCCAGCACAGAGCAGTGTTGAGGTCTACCTGAGATACCGCAGGTTGCAAGTCCTGTGCTTCAGGGCCTCACACAACAGCAGGAGCAGCATCGTATTGCTGTGGACACCGCCTTCCAGGGTCAAGTGGGTCAGGGTCTTCTTACCAATGAAAGCCAGACAGAAGTCCCCATATGCATCCACAGGGGAGACGTTCTTAATCCTAGGAAGAAACATACAAGAAGGGAGCAATTCCATCTTGGGTGTCCAGGGGGTTGGGAATCTGAACGCCTAGTGAAATGAGATGTCTCCAATCAGGATAGAAAGGGGGAGGGTGGTCAATACTCTGACCTGAAGGACAAGTCAATGGAATGATAGATGGAAAAGAGAAAAATGAGGGCTTTGAATAGAAGTAGGTGGTGTTGGGGACATGGAAGATGGAATCAGATGAAAAGGACCTTAGCACACTCTTCTCTTGGCTCATGCTTTTCCCCAGATCCTTATGTTTTGTATTATATCATTTCCTTTTGCATTCATCTCACAAACCTCTTCTTCAACCTCTCAGTCCCTACTTCCTTTTTCTAATAACAAGAAGTCACTTCTCCCTATACCTCCACATGGTCTCTCTATTTCTACAAAGCATTGCTGATGTAGGCTACCATAAGTTCTGGTTTTGAAGTTAGCAAATAAATTGCAGACTCCTTGATGATATAGATCAAGAAGGTATTTTTTTTAATTTCCTTGTCAGCTAGCATGATTGTGGAATTTTAAATGGGATTAAAATAAGTTCTAGACAATGCATAACATGGATTTTCTCTCATCAAACTCTGGGCTTCAGGAATAGCAAAAACTACATACCTATCCATAATTTCTTCGAATGTAAATGAGTTAAATGCTCCAATCAAAAGACATGGGGTAGCTGAATGGATAAGAAAACAAGACTCAAGTGTCCACTGACAGATGATTGGATAAAGAAGATGTAGTACATATATAATGGAATATAACTTAGCCATAAAAAATAATGAAAGCTTACCATTTGTGACAGCATGGATGGACCTAGAGGGTATTATGCTAAATGAAATAAGTTAGGCAGAGAAAGACAAATACCATATGATTTCACATATTTGTGGAATCCAAAAAACATAATAAATGAATATACAAAAACAGAAACAAAAAGAAAAGAAACAACTCAGCATTTAAAATATTGTATACTCTTTCAAAACCAGCAACTGGTCTTACAATTCTTGACCCTTCATTTCTGGATAGAGAATATTCTCTGTTGCTCATCCAAAAAAAGCTTTGGAATTAAGTTGTCTGCACAGAGAGAGTCAGAATAAGGAAGATGCCACCAGTCCAGAGCCCCTCCTTAAATTGTCCTAAACACTTAATGACACAAATTAGAAGTGTCTTCTTTTTTTGAATTTATTGATTCTTTAGAGAGAGAGAGATAGGCATTGATTTGTTGTTCCATTTATTTATGCATTCATTGGTTGATTCTTGCATGTGCCCTAACTGGAAATTAAACCTGAAACTTTGGCATATTGGGATGGTGCTCCAACCAACTGAACTACCCAACCAGGCTCAGAAGTGTCTTCTCAGCCTTGTTTTCTATAATACCTTACAAACCAGGGCAATGTAAGCCTTTGAAGACCATACAGAATAAATTGACACCTGTTCCAGCATCAGCCTATGTCAGGTTTTGTTGCTATTTGTCACCTGACATCAGCAGGTACAGTCCATCGCTGTAGGGCACAACTATTGCTACCTTTTCAGTGACTTCACTAAAGCTTCTAAGGCATTATGGTGTAGGGGAAAATTTCAGCAACAGAGAAAGGGTATCCCTTGAACCTGCATTGGTTGAAAAGGGTGCCCTCATTGTTACCTGCCCAGGTGGCCCACATCACCATTCACATCCACCACAGCCTACCTCACTCAGACTCACTTCTCAACCCCAGACCACACATGAGTTTTAAGGTTATCATTAACTCATCAACACATTCTCTTCTCACTCTCTTCATGGTTTTTTTTTTGCTTATTTTTTGAAGTTTTCAATTACAGATGACATTCATTAGTGTATTAGTTTCAGATGTGCAACATCATAATTAAACACATATAATTTATGAAGTGATTCCCCCAATAAGTCTACCACCCACCTGACACTCTACAGAGTTAGGGCAATATTGTCAACTACATTCCCTCTGCTGTACTTTGCATCTCTGTTAACTATTTGGACCTTCCAACTTGTACTTCTCAATTCTTTTGCCTTTTTCACCAATCCTCTCAACTCCCCTCCCATCTGATGACCATCATTCTGTTCTCTGTATTTATGAGTCTGTCTGTTTCAGCAACAACTTCTTATTCATGTATTTGAAACTTTTCTCTCTAGAGTATTTCCCCAAACCCACCTAGGTCTACCTCAGACATTCATGTATCTCTATTTCCCATGGGCCAAGTTTCAAGTGCACCTCATAGGAGGTGTATTGAAGGATCCAAACTCTTGGCCAAGTTTCATGAATATGACTTCATGTCGCATCATTCAAATGTATCCACAGTGAATGTTTGCAAATATCCAAACTCCTGGACAGATTTCATAAAAATGACTCAATGTGATATATGATTTTCCCACAGAACACCTTTAAAGATAGGAACCATTTCATTTCTTTGTATCCTGAACACCTGGCTGGTCCGAGCCTGGTCAGATAATAAAATATTGTTCTCCCAATCAAAACGCTTGGGGACAGCCCTAACTAAGTGGCTAAGTTGGTTACAGTGTCATCCCATATGCGAAAAGGTTGCTGGTTCGATCCCCAGTCAGGGCCCATATGGGAGGCAACTGATTGATAATATCGATGTGAGAGAGAAACATTGATGTTTATCCCTTTCCCTCTCCCTCTCCCCCTAAAAATCGATAAAATCAGGTGAGGATTGAAAAAAAACAATGCCTGGAAACAGCCTTTGTAAGGTTAGCTTCTACTTACACGACCTTCTGGAGATGACAGGTGGTGCGGGTTATCTGCTCACAAAGAATCCTCACAGAGGACGGACTCAGGACACTTTGACTCACATCCAGAGAGCTCAGGTTCTCATTGGAACTGAACACGGAGCAGAGATCTGTCCAGAGATGAAGAGCATGGTGGTCGTGCTTCCACCTGGGAGGAAGGGACCAAAAAGAGCACCTGTTAAAACTACACATGGGATTCCACATATGAGGGAGATTGTATTGTATTTGTCTTTCTCTGACTGGCTTATCTCACTGAGCATAATGTCCTCCCAGTTTATCCATGCTGTTGCCAAAGGTAAGAGTTCCTCCTTTTTTACAGCTGCATAGTATTCCACTGTGTAAATGTATCACAGCTTTTTTATTCACTCATTTACTCAGGACACTTGGACTGTTTCCAGATCATGGCTATTGTAAATAATATAACCATAGGGGTGCATATATTCTTTCTGATTAGTGTTTCAGGTTTCTTAGAATATATTCCCAGAAGTGGGATCACTGGGTCAAAAGGCAGTTCCATTTTTAATTTTCTGAGGAAACTCTATACTGCTTTCCATAGCAGCTGCACCAATCTTCATTCCCACTAACAGTGCAAAAGCGTTCCCTTTTCTCCACAGAATCAAATGAACAAGACAGAGGCATGGATACGTAGAACAGACTGACAGCTGATAGAGGGCAGGGAGTGGGAGGACTGGATGGAAGAAGGTGAAGGAGTTAGCCAAAAAACAAATACATAACCCATGGACACAGACAACAGTGTGGTGATGACCAGAGGGAAAGGGGGTGGGGAGGTAGATGGAGGTGGGCAAAGGTGGGGAAATGGTGACTGAAAGAGACTTTGTTTGGAGTGATGGGCACACCATGCAGTGAGCAGATGATGTTTTATTGAGTTGTACACTTGAAACCTGTATGGTTTAGCAAACCAGTGTCACCCCAATAAATTCAATTTTTTGGAAAATTACATATGGGGAAAGTAATGAGAATCAATAGGTAGTCCTGCAAAGGAAACAATCAACAAAATGAAAAAGCAACCTACAGAATGGGAGGAAATATTTGCAAATCATACATCTGATAAGGGGCTGATATGCAAAATATATAAAGAACTCATACAACTCAACAGAAAAAAATCCAATTATAAAATGGGCAGAGGACCTGCATAAACATTTCTTTCAGGATGACCTACAGATGGCCAACAAGTGCATGAGAAGGAGGTCAATATCACCAGTTATCTAGGAAATAGTCAAAACCATAATGACACCTCACCTCACACCTGTTCAAAGAGACACTATCAAACAAGAAGAGATAACAAGCATTGGTGAGGATGTGGAGAAAAGGGAACCCTCATGCACTGTTGAGAAGAATGTAAATTGGTGCAGCCACTATGGAACACAGTATGGAGCGTCCTCAAAAAATTAAAAATACAGCCCTGACTAGTATGACTCAGTTGATTGGGTGTTTTCCTGCAAAGTGAAAGGTCACAGGTTTGATTCCCAGTCAGGGCACATGCCTCAGTTTTGGATTCAGGTCCCAGTCAGGGTGCATACAAGAAGCAAATGATCCATGTTTCGCTCTCACATTGATGTTTCTCTCCTCTTTCTTCCTCCATTCCCCTCTCTCTAAAAATCAATTAAATGTATCCCCAGGTGAACATTTAAAAAAAAAAAGAATTAGTACGGAGGCAACATATGTGAAATGTTGAGAGAGCCTAGGGACTTCCTGAACCCATTTGCCATGTGAAAACTATACCACTAAAATGAAAAAAGGCTGATTCCAGGTGGGGAGCACACAAGGGTGTAGACATGTCACATTATAAAGGTGTACACCTGAAGTGTATATCACGTTATTAATCAATGTTACTCCAATATACTTCACAAAAATATTACAGGTTCCAAAGTCTCCATTCCTAATCTGAACATCATAGTATCTGTCTTGAATGGTGAAGCTGGTGAGAAGAAATTCCAGCAAGAAGAAAAGATTGACCTTAAACTCCATGGACCAGGCTACCGCCTTCTCCAATGGAGCCTGGAGGAGGCCAAAGGTGGAGAAAAGGAGAGTAAGAGGGGGCAGTTCTTACCTCTCCTCCCACATGTGTGAGTCTGAGGCTTCCTCATCCTCCAGGAATATCCCCTTCTCCACTTGCAGTGAAATCGTCTCCAAGTTCTGACAGTGCTGGAGACAGAACGCTGAGTGCACAAGGTCCACTTTGTTTTGCAAATGCAGGCACATTTCCCTGGTGTGGGCCGTGGCCTCCTTCACAAGCATCTCCTCCTGAGATTCGTAGAGACAGTACAGCACCTCCTTCACATCCGTGGTTGAGGAGAAGGGATCAGTCCCTTCAGACAATGACGTCAGTAGCTCCTGCTTGATCCCAGGCCGCACTGGGCAACCGAAGGTCGTCTCCAGCTCCCTGGCTCTCTGCTCATTGGAGAGGCCGAATAAGAAGTATCTCACATGCGCCAGGTTGGGGTTCTTCAGTCTTTCTTCCTTCGAGAGCAGCATGTGCAGGTCCCCGATGTCCAGCCTGCAGCTGGCCTCATCTTTCTGCTCCTCGCTGTCCAGAATGTAGAACACAGCAGCCAGAAGCTGCTGGACACTGAGGTGGATGAACGCGTAGCAGCCCTTACAGTCTATGTCCTCCTGGAGGATGTTCTTGTCCAGGAAAGGCTGGAGGTCAGACTCCTGGAGCCCCAGACTCCTGAAATCTTCTCCATCCAGCGTGGACATCTGCGCCCAGAGGCCCCCAGCAGCCAGGAGACACACTGCCCTCAGTGCAGCTGCCAGGGGCCCTCGGGGGCACTCGGCAGGGACTGGCGTGAACTGGCCACACAGGAAATGCAGGAAGAGTGAGGTGGTGGTCTGGCAGGTGGTGGCAGGGTCTTGTCCTTGCTCCATCTGCCGGCTCAGGCACATGCAGGTGACCCAGCACACAGGGGGCATGCAGCCCATGTGGAACAAAGCCGGGTTGCTCCTCATGGCCTCGAAAGCTCGCAGGGCTTGGTCCTCTTGCTCAAAGTGCTTCAGGAAGTAGTCCCTCCTGCCCAGCTCTGAGAGCCCCTCTACCTCTATGAGGACAGGCTGCTCAGCCAGGAGCCGGAGCTCCCTCAGGACACCCGGGCGTGTGGTGACCAGCAATGTGGCCTTGGGAAGCAGTTTCCTCTTTAGCAGACTGGCCAGCAGGATAGGCACTGGCTTCTGCTTCTTCCAGTCACCACAGATGTCATGAATGAGTGACCCCGAGGGGACCCTCAGCTCATCGAAGCCATCGATGACAACCAGGATGTTCTGGCCTTGGTCTGGGATCTTGGCCTCCTGTACATCCAGCCTGGTCTTAGATAGCAGCTCTGCAAATGTGCAGGTCCCCTGGCGGTTCATCTCCTTGCATCTGAGATAGAAGGCAAACTTGAGTGTCTTGGGGAGCTTGTCCTGTCTCCACTCGAGCATCCACTTCTTGGCCAGTGTGGTCTTCCCGATGCCTGAAGGGCCATGCAGCACCGCGGTCAGTGGCCTTAACTGTGTGGGTGTTTTGGGATTCCAGAACGATGTGACTTTTTGGCTTCTCGAGGTGATTTTGTAGTGAAAGTCATCACTGTCTCCAGGCCAAAATGTATGCTTCCAGATAGAATAAACTTTCTCCATCATGTTTCCCTCTCTCTCCGTTTCACCTGTAAGGATATGCAGTAGGTGAAAGTTGGGGCGGCCCATGATTATATTTAACTGGAAAGTGAGAAAGGCCAGGCAGAAACAAAGTATCTTATACTGTACTAAACATCAGATGTATGACTATAAGATAGTATTTACCCACCTGTTTTTTTATTATTGATTTGAGAGAGAGAGAGAAGCATTGATTTATCATCCCACTTACATATGCATTTATTGGGTGATTCTTGTATGTGTCCTGACTAGGGATTGAACCCACAACCTTGGGATATCAGGACAGAGCTACCTGGCCAGGGATCCACCTGACTTTTCTCACCTCCAAGACCCCTTCTGTCTCACCCAGCTTCAGGTGATCTATTTTTCACACTTGTGTGCACTCTGTAAAATACTCATAGCTGCAGCTTGACCCACTGGATTATTTGTACTCCCTAGAGCAGACACCATTGTAGACAAAGAACACTATAAATATCCTTCAGTCTACTTTATTTTTATTATGGTAAGATACACATGACATTTTTTAGCTGTTTTAAAGGGTACAATTCAGCCCCCCACTGTAACAAGAGCAAACAGACTGGAAAAAAAAGAAAAAAAAAAGGAGAGACAGGGAGAGACATGTTTCCAACAGAAGAACAGATCAGTCCCCCAGGATTCATCCTTTTGAGCAACCAAGAAATAGCCAATCTATCAGATGCACAGTTCAAAACACTGTTGATAAGAAAGCTCACAGAATTGGTTGATTTGGGGTACAAATTAGATGAAAAGATGCAGGTTACCATAAAAGAGATGAAGGAAGATACATGGAGGAAAGTCAAAAGTGAAGGGAAGGAAACTGGGTCTCAAAACAATGCAGTGGACCAGAAGTAAGATAGAATCAACCAAGCAGGAAAGCATGAAGAAATAAGAGTTCAAAAAAATGAGGAGAAGCTCAAGAGCATCCAGGCCATCTTTAAACGTTCCAACATCTGAATTATAGGGGTACCAGAGGGGAAGAGGAAAAGCAACAGATTGAGCACATATTTGAACAAATAATAAAGGAGAACTTCCCCAATCTGGCCAAGGAAATAGTCTTCCAAGAAATCCAGAAAGCTCAGAGAGCCCCAAAGAAGTTGGACCCAAGAAGAAACACACCAAGGCACATCATAATTACATTAGCCAAGGCAAAAATGAAGGAGAGAATCCTAGAAGCAGCAAGAGATAAGGGGACAGTAACCTACAAAGGAGTTCCCATCAGACTGTCAGCTGATTTCTCAAAAGAGACCTTATAGGCAAGAAGGGGCTGGCAAGAAATATTCCAAGTCATGAAAGACAAGGACCTACATCCCAGATTGCTCTATCCAGCAAAGGTCTCATTTAGAATGGAAGGGCAGATAAAGTGCTTTTCCGATAAAGTCAAGTTAAAGGAGTTCATCATCACCAAGCTCTTATTTTATGAAATGCTAAAGGGACTTATCTAAGAAAAGAAGATAAAGAAAAAACATGTATAGTAAAAGGACAGCAAACTCACAATTATTAACAACACACCTAAAGCAAAACCAAAAGAAACTAAGCAAACTAGAACAGGAACAGAACCACAGAAATGGAGGTCACATGGAGGGTTAGCAATAGGGGGGTGGGAGGAGGAGAGAGGAGGAAAAGGTACAGAGAATAAGCAGCATAGAATGTAGGTTGAAATAGATAGGGGGAGGGCAAGAATAGTATGCGAAATGTAGAAGCTAAAGAACTCATAAGTACGACACATGGACATGAACTAAAGGGGGGGAATGTGGGTGGGAGAGGGTGTACAGGGTGGAGGGGAGTGAAGGGGGAAAATGGGACAACTGTAATAGCATAATCAATAAAATATATTTAAAAAACAAAAATAAATAAAAAATAAAAATAAAGGGTACAATTCAGTGGCATTGAAAATTTTCACAATGTTGTGCAACCATCATCACTATCTAGTTGCAAGAATTTTGCCACTCCTAACAGATACCCAGTTCCCATTAAACACTCACTTCCCTTTTCCCCAGACCCTGGCAACCACCAATCTGCTCTCTCTCTCTCTGTGGGTTTACCTATTTGGGACACTTCACATTTCATACTGCTTGATTAAAGGAACTTCTGATGCCATAGGGGCTGAAGGTACAGGAACACCTTTAGATGTGATGAAATCAAGTCTATATGCTGGGGGGTACGTTTTATAAAAATACCAGACACCTAAGAATAACTCTAAAATCACATGTCAGGTCTCTCCCTGGAGATTCCCAAGTTTGTAAATAACATCAAAGAAATTAGCAATCTACGGAGAAAGGACATCTGTGGGTTGGGAGGCTCTGCATGATAATATCAGTTCTTTCCAAACTGTCCTACAGTTCCCATGGATTTCTGTTCAATATCCCAGCATGTTTGGGTGCTTGGTGAGCTAAGTCTAAAGTTTGAATGGCCTGGTCGGGAGCTCGGTTGGTGGTAGCATCATCCCCTGCACCATAAGGTTGTGGGGTCAATTCCCAATCAGGGCACATACCTAGATTGCAGGTATGATCCTCAATCGGGCATCAAACCAGGATGACAAAAACCAGACCATCACTTGACCAGTTTCCAGGTCCTTATTGGAATGGACTGTGCTCATCTGCACATAGAGAATTTTTCAATCCCCCTCCCCCTCAATCTCTTTGTTCTGCTTCCCCCGTCCCTCCTTATAAAAACCTCTGCCTGCACTGAGATGTGAAGATGGGCTTTAGGACATGAGTCCCCTATCTTCTCAGGTGGCCGGCACTTAAATAAACCACTTTCCTTTTCACCAGCATCTGTCTCTTGAGTATTGGCTTTCAAAGCAGCAGGTAGCTGAACCTGGGTTCAATATAAATGACATATGTGGATATACACATATGCACATAATCACTAATCAGGTTGCTAATATTAATTAGTGATACTTCATATATAAAACTAGGTAGAGATTATATGTATATACAAGGTGAGCAAAAGTAGGTTTACAGTTATGAAGACATGAAACAGTTTATTCTTGTGTTATTTATTAATTATTGTATTATATTCTATATGAACAACTATATATCTACTTATTGAATTTCTTGGAGTAACATTATATAGGTTTCAGAAAATAAATAAATAGTAAAAATAATGATAAAGGTTACATATAAAAACATACAGCCAACATCATACTCAATGAGCAGAAACTAAAAGCATTTCCCTTAAGATCAGGAACAAGACAAGGATGTCCACTTTCACCTCTCTTATTCAACATAATGAAGGAAGTTCTAGCCACAACAATCAGACAAGAAGAAATAAAAGACATCCAAATTGAAAAGGAAGAAGTAAAACTGTCATTATTTGCAGATGACATGATGTTGTACATAGAGAACCCTAAAGACTTCACAAAAAACTACTAAATCTAATAAGTGAAATTGGCAAAGTAACAAGATGCAAAATTAATTTAGAAATTGGTGGCATTCTTATACATCAATAATGAACTTTCAGAAAGAGAAACTAAGAAAACAGTCCCATTTACTATTGCAACAAAAGAAATAAGGTACTCATGAATAAACTTAACCAAGGAAATAAAAGACCTGTATTCAGAAAACTGAAGGATATTGAAGAAAGAAATTGAGAAAGATACAAATAAGTGGAAGCATATACCATGTTCATGGATTGAAAGAATTTACATCATTAAAATGTCTATATTACCCAAAGCAATTTATAGATTCAACACAATTCTTCTTAAAATACCAATGACATCTTTCACAGATCTAGAACAAATGTTCCAAAAATTTATTTGTAACAAAAAAAAAAAAAGATCTCAAATCGTCTCAGCAATCTTGAGAGAGAAGAACAAAGTTGAAGGTATCACAATACCTGTTATCAAACTCTACTACAAGGCTATGGTAATCAGAACACCTTAGTACTGGCCTAAGAACAGGCATATAGATCAATGGATCACAACAGAGAATCCAGAAAAAAAACACACCTTTATGGACAATTAATATTTTACAAAAGAGGTAAGAACATACAATGGACTAAAGGCAGTTTCTTCAATAAATGGTGTTGGGAAAATTGAGCAAGTACACACACACAAAAAAAAACTAGACCACCAACTTATGTATGCATCCTACATAAGAGTAAACTCAAAGCAGATAAACTTAAATATAAGTCATGAAAACATAAAAATCCTAGAAGAAAACATGGGCAATAAAATCTCAGACATCTCTTGTAGCAATATTTTTTCTAAGACAAGGGAAACAAAGGAAAAAATAAATAAATGGGACTACATGAAGTTAAAAACTTCTGCACAGCAAAAGAAACCAACAAAATGAAAAGGGAACCCAGTGTATGGGAGAATGTTTGCCAATAAAACATCTGATAAGGAGTTAAATTCCAAAATATATAAAGTACTTATACACTCAAAACCAAGAAGACAAACAATCCAATTGAAAATGGGCAAAGGACCTGAATAGACACTTATTCAAAGAGGACATACAGTGGTCAATAGGCATATGAAAAAAATCTCAACATCACTAATCATCAGAAAGATGCAAATTAAAACCACAATGAGATACCACTTCACATCTGCCAGAATGGCCACCATCAATGAATCAACAAATAACATGTGTTGGTGAGGATGTGGAGAAAAGGAAACCTTTGTGCACTTTTAGCAGGAATGCAGATTGGTGCAGCCACTGTGGGAAGCAGTATGGAGTTTCCTAAAAAAATTAAAATGGAACTGCCTTTTGACCCAGTAATCTCACTCCTGACCATATATCCTAAGAATCCCAAAACACCAATTCAAAAAAATATATGCACCCTATGTTCATAGCAGCATTATTTACCATAGTCAAGATCTGGAAATAGCCCAAGTGCCCATCAATAGATGAGTGGATAAAAAAACGTGGTACATTTACATGAAGGAATACTACTCAGCTGTAAAAAGCAAGGAACTCATACCTTTTGTGACAGCATGGATGAACCTGAAGATCATTATGCTAAGTGAA